ATACAAATAGCTAATGATACGGTAAATATTTTAAGTTTTAAAAATTTGGGGGGAAGCTAATAAAAACAAAAATCTGTATCAATGTTTAAAGGCAAAATAGTCTGAAAAAGCAAATTGTATAAATGTAAAACATTGGAAATTAACATCATTAAACCATCTTCAAAAAAATGTAAGACAAGGCTCAGTTGGTGTCTTTTTCTTTTCTTTTTTTTTTAATTAATTAATTTATTTATTTGTGAGAGAGCATGAGCAGGGAGAGGGGGAGGGGCAGCAGGAGAGGGAAAAGCAGACTCCCTGCTGAGCAGGGAGCCAGACATGGGGCTTGATCCCAGGACCCCGAGATCATGACCTGAGCTGAAGGCAGACGCTTAACCAACTGAGCCATCCAGGCGCCCCAGTTGGTTTCTTTCTTAAATTAATCTTTCATATAGTGTTATAAGGAAAGACACCTTTTAGCCCCTACAAACACCTGATACCCTCCCAGCTTTTATTAGGCCTTCCTTATTCAGTAGCTTAATAAAATGAAAAGATCAATTTACAACCCTATAAGATGTAATCATTCAAATGTTCCAGGAATTCCAAGAACTATATTTAATTATCTGCTGTATTTATAAGATTTTTCAGAATTATCTAATTTGGTATCTTCTTTCTCAAAAGTTTAATAAAGAAACTCTTCCTCATCATTAGGCTCATTAAATTCTTCTTGCACATTCCTTCCTCTCCCACTTTTATTCTTCCCAATTTGTAAAATAGTCCTTTACTATTATTGTTCTTACTCTTCTTAATTTATACTTTATAAATGTATGCTTTATATTCTATCAATTTTCATATAATATTGATATTTTCAAACTGGATTGATAAAAATAAACATTGTTATACATAAAGAAGCAGAAGTGTTATCTTCTCTTATGTGGGGAAGCAGCCAGGTTATTTAGTGTAACATAAGCTAAAATATTGTTCTTGGGTTGCTCAACCACAATGAACTAATATATAAGTCCTAATTATATGATTTGTGAATTTTTTTCCTTTTTCTCCAACCACTTTTTTCACAAGGGGGTGAAATCATTTGGCAAGAGACAGCTCATAAAATGATCATAGAAATAAATTTAAGGACTCGAAATTTTGTGGTTTTTATTAAATATTATTCTAAATAAACATATGAAATGCTATTGTAGGAAAATACGTGAGAAAGAATATAGGGAGAAAAGAAAGAACCAATCTTTTACTAATGACAGATTTCTGGCCTGATCAAAGAAAAATAAGGCACAGAAATTCTTTCAGTTCTCTTTACGTATTTTCTAGGGAAGTTTAAGCAACAGCATATCACTTGATCTCAAACATTATATCTCATCATCAATGATTATGGATTCCTACAGGAATGAGGATAATGTACTGTTAAGAGTCAAAGTGCTCTTGTCAGGAAACATGGATTAGAAGCCTAACTCTACCATTTACTAGCTCTATGACTACAAGTTTTCATCTATATGAAGGATAATAAAAGTTCCTATTTCATGAGACTATTATGATAAGTAAATAAGATAATGCATGTCAACTGCTTTGCAAAATTCCTGATACTCAGAAAATATATTTAAAATGTTAAACACTTATTATTATTGTGTCCGCGGTAAACAAAGCATTTTGTTCATACCTCATGTAGACCTGATCGTATCATTACCCTACTTGCAACTTCATCAGCTTCTCACTGCCTTTAGAATTAACTCCCAACTTAACTTATAAGGTACTCCAAATACTCATTTCTCACCATTATTCCTCTTCAACTCTAAACCAAGCCTCATTAGATTTTAGTTCCTCAAATATGCCATATCCCCCTGCTTGCCTCTAAGTCCTTCCACATGAAGTTCGTTTTGCACATAACGTTCTTTCTCATCTCTTCCTTCAAGAACCACTTCTTCTGAGAGTCCTTCCCTGACATGCTGACTAGTCTGGACCAAAAAGCTTAATGTTCATGGAGATATCTTGCAACCACAATGCGTCAAGACAGGATGAAAGCCAACAGGTTAAGTAAGACTGGCCTGTTGGAAGAGTTAAAAAGTACCCAAATCTGCTTACCTCTAAACTCTTTGTTTTATTAGCAATAAACGTGCTCATGGGGGCACCTGGGTGGTGCAGTCAGTTAAGCCTCCAACTCTTGCCTTTGGCTCAGGCTGTGATCGCAGGGTCGTGAGATCAAGCCCCGCATCGGGCTCTGTGCTGCGCGGAGTTTCTCTCTCCCTCTCCCTCTGCCTTCCTCCCCGCTCCCTCTCTCTATATAAAATAAATAAATAAATCTCTAAAAAAATTGTGCTCAAAGTTTAAGCCAGAAGCTGACAAACTACAACCTGTGGGCCAAATCTGCCAATTGCTCATTTTGTAAATAAAAGTTTTATTGCGATACAGCCATATCATTCATTTAACATTATCTGTGGCTGCCTTGGTGTTCAGTAGTTGCAATAGAGACACATGGCCTAAAAAGCCTAAACTATTTGCTATCTAGCCCTTTACTAAGAAGTCTGCTGTCCCTGGTTTAAGCTACTATTGTTTAGGTTTTGTTAATTATGACCAAAAGCATTCTAACTCATACACTGTTTCCAAGCAAACTAGTAAACATTCATCTGATTTCACTGTAATTACTTACACATCTTCCCTTCTATCTATGCTTATTTTGCCATCTGCATGAACTCTCCAAGTAGGACTGCCTACTATTATGACCTTGTTATCAACACAGTACTTCATAAATAGAAGGCATTTAAATATTGTTGACTGAACAAGTGAACGAATGAATGAGTATATCTGATATAACCAATCAATATTTATTAACAACTAACATGTATATTAGGTACTCTAAGTGATACAAAAGAGTAAAAGATATATTCTCAGCCCTGAATGGCTTAAGAAATCAGGTCTAAGAAATAAACACATAAGCTTAAAAAAAAAGACAAATTATTTCTGAAGCAAAGCAGGGTACATCTATACATATATAAATACTATCATTAAATGTGTACGTGACCCCCCCCAAAAAATTCCTGATTTTAGATCTTACCAAAAGATAAGAATCTGGATGTCCTCGGCACAAACCACAAGAGAGAATATCCTGATACAACACCGTGACCTTATACTATGGTCCACGAAAACCGTGGAAATTACTGAATCAAGCTACTCAACAGCTTTTTGACATTGGTTCCCAGAGCCCTTCAACTGACACCTCTTGTTTTGATCTTGTTCATCCCCTTTGTTGAGATTTAAAAAATAATGAAGAATACAACATTATTACCTTGTAAATCTGTCATCCAGGATTTAGTCCCTCGAACATAATCGCCACTGAGCTCAATCTGTAAAACTGGCCCAAACTTTCAAGATTGATGTCACCATATTAGAATCTTTCCTGAAACCACCCAACCTCCCTTTTTTATCCATGCACTCATTTTTCTTACCTTTAAAATCTCCATAATAATGCTTTATGTAATATTAATTTTATACAACTGTGTAATTATTCTGGTGAAGTGGAAAGCAAATATTTAATGACTACCAGAAAGCATAGTCACTCTTCTCATAGCCACATAACATCTAAAGTATAAACCAAAAGAAAAACAAAAAAGGGACAAGGAGCAAGGTAGTTCCTTGACTGACATAATTATTCATCCTCTTGGTCCATATTTTCCAGTCTCAAAAAGCCATTCTCTATCCTCTCTTCAAATCTATCATCCTCCTGACTTTCTCCCTCTCTCAATAGATTTCTCTCATATCCTCTCTGATCTTAATTCCACTCTACCACTCTAGCTAACTCAGCCTCCCTATCCTTATGGCCAGATATCCAACCCCATCTCCGCTCCTATAACATTCAACAATCCTTAAAACTAGAAAAAGACAGAACTCGGAATTTTGCAGAACCACAACTGCTCGGTGTGCATTAAAAGTTGTGAGGTCATCAGGAAAAAGAAAGTCATATAATAATACTATCCTCTTCCAAAGTCCACCACACATTTATCATTTCAAAGAATCTGACAGGTTTTATAGTATCACTGTAAATCTGGAAATAAAAAATAAACACACAGACAACTGTGAAAAAGAAAAGGATGAGAGATGAGTTCCATATCCTTTAATACATTTAATTCTTCATAGAATCAAGATCTCAAGGAACTACATTTAAGATCCTGACAAGCTCTTTGATTTAACACTGAAAACTGATACATTACAGATAAACGCTTTAGTACTGAAGTATTACAGTGACTATACATGGGGTGTTGAAAGACTCACAAAGGGGGATAAATTCCAAGATGTTCTACCTTTTATAATAAAAGAGCCCAGTGTCAGTTTTGAATAAAACAAACAAGAAGCTATAATTCAAACTACAAACCAAGATTTTGTTTCATTTTAACATTTTCTAATTTAACAAACAGTTATCAATGGATTTCAACCTCCAACTGGACAAAGTTAGACTAATTGTTTCAATAAACCGATTCCAGAAAAAATAAATTCTGGGTCTCACACATACATACACTCACTCTAACACACACACAAACACACCCCTAACAGTGGTCAAGTCCCATTCTATATAGAAAGAAGTCTAACCAATAGTAAATCACATGGTTCCCTACCTTCGTTTTACTTTTACCCTTTTCTCCTAACACCTTTACAATAAATTAATAGACATTTTTAATCATGAGCTAGTCTTTAAATTTTAAAATCATATTCATGGTAAGGAAATTGAATATAGAACTTTCCTAAAGAATTATGTAAATTTTCTTTTACTGACATACTAAGCTTTGATCATGCCATTTATTTTGTTTCTAAAATTTGTTATATAAGTCTTAAATGAAAACAGGAATATAAAGGAAGCACAGTAAAAGTCTGAGATAACCATTTTGATTTATCCTTTCTTCTTTATGTAATGTATTTTCCTCTTTTGTCAATCTAAGAAAAATCTCAGAGAATGAAAATTTAGTTTGAATATTGCCATGGAATCATTGAGTCATCACTACTTAAGATTTGTTTCAACTTACCCACGTTTGATGTTGTGTAATTCCTTATCCTTGCATTTATCCTTCTCCTTTTCTCTTTTCTCCTTGTCTCTGCCTTTACGTCGTTCTCTATCCCGAGATCGACTACGGGTTCTTCGGTGACTGGACCTTTCACTGCTTCGACTATGGGACCGTGGACGAGGTCTTGACCGGGACCTATATTAAGTAGATTTTATTACATTCATTTAGTGTATATTTTGTATTATGAAATGCAAATATTCTTAAAAACTATCTAAAAGGATTTAGTTTTTAGTTATGGATTTGGTAACTAAATAACTGTGTGAAGTAAACATCTGTATAGGATTCTTTATGAATAAATATACTCAATTAAAATGACATGAGGGAAATATATGTTGCCAACTTTAGAGGAAATTAAGGTTTGGTCAAAAAATGTCTGCAAGTATAAGTCTTAAAGGTTCAAATCGAGTCTTGATTACTCAAGTCTCCTCAAATAATATAACAAATCTAAATGTATTCAAAAATAGTGTCTTCCCTATCTCTATAATCTTGGCTTCCATATCTATTCAACTTCTTTTCTTACATCTATTACAATAAAACTATTACTCTCCTCCACCCTTATCCAGCTATTCTTTGTATTAAATGACAATATAAGCTGGGATATACTGTGGTTTTTTTAAAAAGTAAAGATTTCAAATCCTGCTTACAGTACTGAAAGAAAGCCTCTACTAGACTTATCTTATAGATAATTATACAAAACAACTACCTAAACGCACTTTTGGATACTGACCAAAGAAGTCAGATTCTATAGGGGGCCAACACTTGGGAAAAGAACAGAGCAATAAGAAAGTTTCCCATTTTATATCAGCTTCTTTTCTGAAGGCAAGGCTAACTCTGTGCCATTCAGGGCAGCTAAAACTCCAACAAAAAACTTCAGGATTTCTGTCCTAAAAAAACAGAAGAAAGACTCAGCAACCACTGGAAAAGGAAAAGGAAAGGGGAATCCTAAAAAAGAGTGAGAAGAGAAAGCCAAAAATTCTATATGTAAACACTACTCAAGTCCCAGGCTGAACCCTACATTATGCATAGGAGGGGAAAACTCCACAGATAGCTAAGGATAAAAGAACTGAAAACATCAAATGTCCCTGAAGAGACAGGATTTTTACAATTTTAATTCAACTAACTTTCCTGCTAGAACAAACAACTAACAAACAAAAAAATCAGTATTCTTTAGAGGAATAAAACAGAACTCGGTGTATTCAAAAATGTGACATTCGCCATGTCCAGGATAATATCCAAAATTACTAGATAATACAACAAGGCGTGAAAAATGTGATCCAATCTCGAAAGAAAAGATAATCAATGGAGATTAACCCTGAGATAAGCCAAATCTTAGAATTAGCACAAGGATTTTTAAAAAGTATAACTATACTTGCAATAAATACAAAGAAATCTCAGCAGAAAAACTAGAAAATGAAAAAAAAAATGAAATTCTATAACTAAAAAATACAATATCTGAAATTTAAATTATGCTGAATGAGATTAAAATCTACTAAACACTAATGAGATTAGTAACAACAGAGGAAAGAATCTGTATACTTGAAAATAAATCAATCAAGATTACCCAATCCAACAGAGTAAGAGGACAAAAGACTGTCAATAATAAAAACAGATCCTCCAGGATCTCTGTGACAATATCCAAATGTCTAACATGTTTATTTAAACCCAAAAGTAGAGAACATAATAAGATAGAAAACAACTTTTTTGTGGTGGCCAAAATTTCCCCAAATTTAGTGAAAGATAAATTTTCAGGTCCTGGAAGTTTAATGAATGCCAAAATAAATATGGAGAACCATGACTAATGATGAAACTGATGAAAACTAAAAGAGAAATTTTGAGAAGTAAAAAGAAATCTTGAAAAAAAACTGACACATTACAAGCAAGAAGGAGAGCAATGATATCCATTACTGCTGGCTTCTCATCAGTACAGTGGAGATCAGAAGACAGTAGAACGAAGTTCTTAACGTGGTGAAAGAAAAAAAAAAAAACAGGGCGCCTGGGTGGCTCAGATGGTTAAGTGTCTGCCTTAGGCTCAGGTCATGATCTCAGGGTCCTGGGATCGAGTCTCGCATCGGGCTTCCTGCTCCTTGGGAGCCTGCTTCTCCCTCTGCCTCTCTCTCTCTCTCTCTCTCTCTGTCTCTCATGAATAAATAAATAAAATCTTTAAAAAAAAAAAAAAGAAAAAAAAACAATCAGCCCAGAATTTTATTTTTAGCAAAAATATCCCTCAAAAAATGAAAGTAAAATAAAGACATTTTTAAGAGAAAGGGAAGAATAAACCATAATCATCAATAGTAAATCTGTATTACATTAAGTTCTAAAGAGAAGGCTGAAGAGAATCATGACAGATGAAAACTTGGGATATTTAGGAAAGAATGAAGACCACTGGAAATGCTAAATATATGTGGAAATATTAAAAACTATTTCCCTTAATTTATTTAAAATATATATATGTGCTTGGGTGCCAGTCACTAAGTGTTTGACTCTCAATCTTGGCTCAAGTCTTGATCTCAGGGTCGTTGAGTTCAAGGCCTGCATTGGGCTCCATGTCAGGCATGGAGCTTACTTAAAAAAAAAAAAAATACATATGTGTGTGTGTGTGGCACACATGTGGGCTTAAAGTAAAAATTACAGTGTTTCATTGTAGAGCTTATAATGAAGGTAGATATAATACATATAATCTCTATAAAATAAAACACATGGCATGTAAATGGAGACCATACAGTTATAAGGTTTCTGTATTTCATATGAATGGTGAAATAGTAACTCTAAGTACAATGAAATGGTAAGGGGGTGTTGTAATCCTTAGAAAAAGAAATGCAAATATGTATAGCTAAAAAGCCAAAGGATGAGATAAACAAGAATTCTTGAAAATATTCAATAATCCTCTGCATGGAGCACTGGGTGTTATGCACAAACAATGAATCATGGAGCACTACATCTAAAACTAATGATGTAATGTATGGGGAGTAACATAACAATAAAAAAAATTTAAAAAAAGAAAAAAAAGAAAAAAAAATTCAATAATCCAAAAGGAGGCTGGAAAAGAAGTACAAAGAAAAATCAGAGGGACAAACATAAAAATTTAAAATAAAATAATATACAATATTATATAAAATAAATATTATGTGTATATAAAATACGTAAAACAAAATACATTAAAGTATGCATATAAAATACATAAAATAGATAAATATCAGATGGTAGACTTAAATCCAAATATATAAATAAATATCTTAAATATTAATAGAATCCACACTTTAATTAAAAATAGCTTGTCCTTCTTTAAAAAAAAGGGTGGGGGGCACCTGGGTGGCTCAGTTGTTAAGCATCTGCCTTTGGCTCAGGTCATGATCCCAGGGTCCTGGGACTGAGCCCCACATTGGGCTCTCTGCTCAGCAGGAAGCCTGCTTCTCCCTCTCCCATTCCCCCTGCTTGTGTTCCTGCTCTTGCTCTCTCTCTCTGTCAAATAAATAAATAAAATCTTAAAAAAAAAAAAAAAAGAAGAAGAAGAAGAACTTGTCCTGGGGTGCCTGGGTGGCTTAGTCTGTTAGGTGTCTGACTCTTGATTTCGGCTCAGGTCATGATCTCAGGTTTGTGAGATGAGCCCCGAGTTGGACTGTGCGCTGGGAGTGCAGCCTGCTTAAGATTCTCTCTCCCTCTCCCTCTGCCCCTCCACCCCTTTACTCTCTCTCTTAAGGAAAAAAAAAAAAAAAAAAAAAAAACCTTGTCCAAATGAATCAAAGGCAACACACAACTACATGCTATCTACAAGATATTTACTTTAAATTTACAGACACAGGTTGAAAGTAATGGCTAAAAATAGATATATCATGCAAACAGTAAGCACAGGAAGGGTGGAATGAATATATTAATATCAGATAAATTAGACTTGAGAAACTAAAAGTATCACCCAAAAAAAAAATAGATACTTCATCATGATCAAAGGATCAATTCATAAGTAGAAATCATACAAAATGTTTATCTTACCACAACAGAATTAAACTAGAGTTTAATAACAATAAAATATCTAGAAAAAGATAGAGAAATTAAATACTCTTCTAAATAATTCATTAGAAATCATAAGAAAAATTAGAAAATATTTTGAACCGAATGACAGTGAAAATACAAATAGGAAAATTTATAAGATGAGCTAAAAGCAATGTTTAGAGGTAATCTTATAGCTTTAAATGTTTATATTAAAAAAGAAGAAAGGTCGAAAATCAAATGCCTAAGGTTTCATCTTAGGATGCCAGAAAAAGAAGAGCAAAAAGCAAACCCAAAGTAGGGAGAAGGAAGGAAACATTAAAGAGCAAAAATCAATAGAATAGAAAGCAATAATGAAAAAAAGCCAAAATCTGGTTCTCTGAGAATACCTACATATTTGGTAAATCCTTAGCTAGACTAAACAAGCAAAATAGAAAAGAGCAAACACAAATTACTCCCCCAAAGGATGACAGAGAGATTGCATAAATGAGACCTGAGTATTTAGGACATATGTAGGTCTTGAAGAGAATTACATGGGTTGCAACAACAGTAATGCCTATCTTCTTTCATCCCTAACTGGTTTACTCAGTGAATGAAGAGCAATATTATATGATAAAGTCAAACACATTTTTTTAATATATGATTTTGAGAAGTTACAATATTTCTTGCTACGATGAAAACATGGGTTTATTATCCTAATTTATAAAAATTAAATTTCTATCATTTTCTCTTTAAGTTTGATTGCTCCTTCTCTTAATTTTGACACAGGACTTCTTTCCACATAAAGTTTTAATTTATCCTGACAATTTATTTCCCCCACAAATGTTAGTTTATTCATTTCTAATTAAATCTATTATATGTGAATATATAGAAATTTTAAGATTATTCTAAAATCTTTGACCAGTAATCATATAAAATTTAAAGTTTTCTATTAAAAGAACGTAATAATAATAAAAATGGAGAGGGGCCTTTTTTGTGATAGCCTCAACCACTATACATATATATTTTATGTATATACACAGAGTATATTATTTTAATTTGGTTCTACATTGTTCAGGACCAAAATATGATTCTTGCAATTAGTTTTCATTTGACTAGTGAAAATGCGGAGTATAAAAGACAAGTTAACATAGTTTAAACTCTAACAACAA